CACATGTGTGAATGTGGATCCGCTTCGGATTGAAAAAAAAAAAAAAAAAAAAAAAAAACATGAGAAGCGGGTTCCGTAGGGAGGGGGTGGCGCCAGAGTCTGCCTCGCATTGCACATCCACAGGCGAGGCCCCCGATTGATGCCTCGTCAATATGACGTGCGAGTGCGTGGGGGGAGTACGAGTGGGTGCGTGAATGCGCGTGAGATGACGTCGATGATGGTGATTTTGTTGGTGACGATGGTGGTGGTTGTTTAACAGAGTCGGGGCTCACGGGGAGGAGCGGTTCGAAGGTCACGGAGAGAGCCATCTGCCCGCAGCGAGCGCGTTCTAGAGCCGCTGTGCTCTTTGCGCACGCGCAGGAGCGGGCCACTCCACTCCGCGCGCCGCGCGATCGGCGGGGCGCGCCTCCTCTGATCAACAATCGGCGAGTTCGGGATCCGGGCGAATCCAGGGCGAGGCCTCGCGAGTGGCGGGGTGTCCATCTTCCCGAAGGCGCCCGTCTTCGTCGCGCAGCACGCGGCGTCCGCATCCACAGGGCGAACAAGCGCACGCCTCACAAAGAGCCCGCGCTCAAAATTCGAAGTGGAGATGAAAACGGCAGTACCATTAGCACATTGTCGACAACGTGGTCTATATCCGCGAAGGCAGAGGTGTGCAATCCGACGGAAAGAACACTCACATCCACAGCAATGGCAGACTCCCCGTTGGCTGCTGTGATATGGTCCCAAGTGTGAGCTGCGTCCACAAGGGCAGTGGAGGCAGCATCCAAGTCGACGACACAACTTCGTCATCAACAGAGCTAGGGGACTTCACAGGGCCAGCAACCTCAAGAGTCGAAGTGGCTATGACTATCACAGCGGGCTTCGCGTAATTGTTGGCAACGAGCGCGGCACATCAACAACATATCCAACACTATTACTCCGTTACAAGCGTAGGCGTCGACGATGGCGTCGCGAATCCCCGGCAGCGAACACCTATTCGAATAAGACAAAAAACCCAAACCCGTGCCATGGAGTAAGACGAAATTCGTCGCATGCGAATCCAGTGGCAACGAATACCTAACAAGTTTAGGACCTCGCGGTCCAAGGGCGGTCGGTCCCCAAACGCTCTAACAAACACTGCAGATGCCCGTCAAACCAGCCCGTCAATTCCTGAAGTTCTTCATCCATGTAGCCTGGTGGTGCCGCTCCACGTAGGCGCCCTCCTCCCAATTGGCGAAGCCCGTCCAGCAGTGGAAACCGCCTGCCTCCCAGGGACTGGATGCCCAGAATCAGCTTCACCTGGCCGTCCTGAGACGTCTCCGAGGTCCTGCAAGCCCTGATCAGCTGCTCCGCGTCCCTTGACTTCTCGCAGGCGCTGAAATCCTCCACGAGCTTCTTGATGACTGTCATGCTGGTGCCGCCTACCTCGGGAATGGTTGGTTGCCAGCGCGTCCAGCACCGCCCCGAACAGGAGCGCGTGGGCTGGCCTTAGCGGCTGCGTTTCGGGGTGACCATGGTGGTGGTGATGATGATTATGGTGATGGCCATGGTGTGCTAGGGGTGAGTGAGTGAGTGAGTGATGACCGACTGTGGGTGAATGAGTGATAAGAGTGTGTGAATGCGAATGAGTGGGTGAGTGATTGCGTTGAAGGAGAAAGGATGAGGGGTGAGACTGCGCGAGGGGGGTGCAGAGAAAACCAAACCCCCACTTAGGATGTGGGATATAATCGCCCCACTTAAGATGTGGGGGAGCATGAGCTGCGGGCCCCATGGGGAGGGAGCTCCTGCCTGAGACTTCCTCGCAACTCACTCACAGACGAGCCGTCCGCCCGATGCTTCCTCCATATTCAGGCCTGAGGTGTCCCGAAGAGACAACACTTACAAGTAGTAGGGTAAGAAAAACAAACAACGGCGGGCCCCATAGGGAGTAGGCTGCCGCCGGAGACTTACTCACATTCGCTCCCACACGAGGCTCCCGCCTGAGACATCCTCGATAACCACTCACCGGCTAGGCTCCCGCCTGATACTCCCTCTATATTCAGGCCAGTGGTGCGCAACTGGCGACAGTTACAGGCTTGAGGATGACCCGCTCAGATAAAATAAAACGTGAACTGCGAGCCCCATGGGGAGGAGGCTGCCGCCTGAGACTTCCTCGCAATTCACTCACAAACGAGGCTCCAGAAACTTACTCGCAATTCACTCACGGTCGAGGCTCCCGCCCGATGCTCCCTCCATTTCAAGCCTGTGGATCCCGACAATGGCGACAGCTACAGGTTTGAGGAAGACCCTCTCGGACAGAAAAAAACATGAGCTGCGGGCTCCTTGGGGAGGAGGCTCCCGCCTGAGAGTTCCTCAGAATCCGCTCCCAAACGAGGCTCCCGCCTGAGACGTCCTCGCAATTCACTCACAGACGAGGGCCCCGCCCGACACTCCCTCCATATCCAAGCCTGAGAAGCCCACACGTGACAACGGTTATGATGATGCTGATGATGATGGTGAAGCTGATGATAGTAATGATGCTGACGATGACGATGATGGTGCTGCTGATAATGATGATTGTGCGACAGATGTTGAGGTTGATGTTGATGATGCTGCTGTTGACGACGATGATGATGGTGATGATGCTGAGGATGATGATGATGATGATGCTGATGATGATGATGATAATGATGATGGTGATGATTATGCTACTGAGGCTGGTGACGACAAGTCTGATGATGAGAATGATGATGGTGCCAATAATGATACTGATCGTGCTGCTGATGATGATGATGATGATGATGATGCTAATGATAACGATGATGCTGATGGTGATGATGGTGATGCTGATGACGCTGATGATTATGATGATGCTGATGCTGCTGATGATGATGTTGCTGTTGCTGCTGCTTATGATGATGATGATGATGATGATGATGATGATGATGATGATGATGATGATGATGATGATGATGATTCTGATTCTGATGATGATGATGCTGATGATGGTGGTAGGTTCATGTTCCTGCGCGGGGTGTCCAGAGGAAACAACAAACCCACTGAGGACGTGTGGAATTACAATGCCAAGGATGGATGGCGGATCTTGTTCAACATGCGGCTCTCGCTTGCGACCTCCTCAAATTTGTACGGCCCACGCGACAATTACACAGCTGGAGGGAAACTCCTTGTCAACATAGGGCTCTCCTTTGAGACCCACTCTAATGTTCAACCCCTTTCTAACCGGGGACATTGCTGCATACCTTCTTGAACGTCATCCTGCCTCTTTACGGTTGTTTCTGTTCGAAGAGGATGGGTCCTGTACAGAACGGTGTCGAAAAGGATAGAGGGCCAGGGAGGCAAATGGGACGAGGTGTAGGGCTGGGCAGGCGGATGAGGACGAGGCTGAGGAGGAGGAGGAGGAGGAGGAGGAGGAAGAGGAGGAGGAGGAGGAAGAGGAGGAGCAGAGGACGAGCGTGAGGAGGATGAGTCGTGATGAGGAGGAGGAAGAGAAAGAGGAGGAGGAGGAGCGGAGAGTAGGAGGAAGGAGGAAGAGGAGGGGAGGGAGAAAAACGCGGGGAAGAGGAGTAATGAGATACCGAGGGCGGCGAGTGGGGCAGGAGCTGGAGGACGAACGGGGGAGGTGCAGGCGCTGCCCTTCGGGCTCGGTGCAGCTGGGGGGCAGGGGAGTCTCGCACGCCCTTCCTACGAGAGGGAGGGGGGGGACGGCGGGCAGGGAGGGCGAACGGGGAGGCCGTAGGAGGGATGGGGGGTGGAGGGAGGGAACAGGTATGGAGCAGCCCATCCCAGCAGCATGTCGCAGGGCGGAGAAGGGGTGATCAAGAAGGAGGTGGGGGGGTCCGTGGGGGTGGGGGGGTGGGCAGGGGTTTGGGGGGGAGTCCGAGGAGGGGAGAAGGCACGGAGCCGCCGAGGCGCTCGTGGAGGAGCGCCGTGCCCCCGCAGCGCGATGATGCCCGGGGCCCCCACAAGGGCCCGCGCGCCCGTGCCCTCCTTGTAGGCCAGCTTGGCGACGGCGCGGAACGCGTCGTCGGTGAACTCGAGCGAGATGCCGTACCTTTCAGAAGAAGAAACAACGCGGTAAACATAATCCCACCAGCCCTCTGGGCGTCGGTGGTTTAGAGCGTTTCCTCTTCCACCCCTCCTTCTTCCCCTTCGGGGAGGGGTTTACCCCTCGGAGGGGTTTACCCCTCCCCCTACCCCCTCCCCACTGACCTGGACAGGGGGTTCCGCGGCGCGTTGGAGCGCCCAAGATGGCCCAAGACGGCTCCAAGAGGGCCTCAGGGAGCCCAATATACCCTCCAAGATGGCTCAAGATAGCGCAAGATGCCTCAAGATGGTCCCCATGATGTTCCAAGACGTTCCAAGAACTCTCCAAGACGGTTCCAAGTGCCCACAAGAGCATCATTAGGATGCATCCAAGAGGCCAAAATGCTTCAAACTTCAGGGAAATCAATGTTTTTGGTGTTCTCACTTTTTCGTTTGCGATGCACATCCGAGGCGTCAAGATGGCTCCAAGATGGCTCAATATAGCTCCAAGAAGGGCCCAAGAAAGCCCCATGACGGCGCCAAGAGCGCCGAAGAGCGCTCCAAGAGCGGTCCCAGAGCGGTACAGGAGACGATTTTTGGAGTTCCTGGGGGGGGGCTCTAATTAAGGAGCCCTACTTCCTTGGCCGATGTCCTCCAAAATCCGCAGGATGGCCCCAAATTGGCCCCAAGAGGCCCCCCAAGAGGCCCCCAGGAGGCCCCCAAGAGACCCCCAAGAGGCCCCAAGAGACCCCCCAGAGGCACCCAAGAAGCGCCCAGGAGGCCCCAAGAAACGCCCAGGAGGCCCCCCAAACGCCCCAAGATGGCCCGAAGAGGCCCCAAGAGGCCCCCAGGAGGCCCCAAAGAGGATCCCGAACGGCCCACAGAGGCCCCCCCGAGGCACCCAAGACGCAGAAAAAAACCCTCAGGACGACCCTCTACTCGCCTGGGCGTCGTTTTTCTGGACGGTTTTTTTTTTTTTTTTTTTTTTTTTTTTTTTTTCCTTTTTCCCCCCACACACACATATATATATATATATATATATATATATATATATAAAATACTACTATTATTATTTAATGTTTTTTTACAGCCGCAGGCGGAAGCGCCGGCGGCGGCAGGTCACGGTCGGGCTGCGGCCGTAACAGATTAGCCGGGCGCGCGCGCGGGCCGCGGATCAGGCGGCGGTGCAAGCTGCAGCCCTGGGAGTCGGAAGGGAGACTGGCACCCAGGGAGCAGGAATTACGCTGCCAAAATGGCGCGATGCACGTCCCCAGTCAAGGGTCGTGTCCGGTCCGACGACCACAGGGCAGTGGGGATCTTGACTCCGTGCAAGAAGAGCGTCAGAGAGCCCAGGGTGTCTGCCGGGTACGAGCGAGACCGTAGGCGAGAGAGCTGACGCAGGCATCCCGCAGGAAAAAGGGACTCTGACGGCGCCAGCGAACCGTCGCAGCTTCAGAGTACGCACCAACGCGGCTGTAAAGGCACGGCTGAAGTCAGTGACCAACCGGTGCACGTCGACCCTCAAAACAACTGCGGAAGGATGCGTTCGCACGCGAAAGATCAACGACATGATGTGACGCAGTGCGGAAGGTACACCTGTTCCCGACCTCGGCGCGAGACACGAGGGCCAATCGAAGACAGGGCGTGTACCAAGAAGCAACAAGTGGCATAACAAAGTACAACTCTCCAGGATACCCTGGCGGACCAGAAAGGAGTGGAAGTAGCGCTTTGAGAAAGCTGCGTTGACGCATACCCGCTGCAGCACAAGCAACCGTCCGTAGCCACGAAGAAGCCCAGGAAGTGACCCTTCAACAAGGTTGAGCGTGGGAGCGACGATGGGGTGACGTCAGTGCGCACGGACCCTTGCGGCGAGCGGTGCGCCACTAGCCACAGGTGTGGGCACGGCCTGGGCCAACCGCTGCCAGACTGTGGCAAGTCATGCACGGGAGCACACCTGCGACCCAGAGTCCGAGTACGGCCGCAGCGACTTCCGGGTGGGCACTCCAGCCGACGCAGCGGGGCGTACCACAACGCACGGAGACCGCCTGAGCAACGTTGAGACCCACTGACGATAAGCCCAAGCCCAGGGTCGCTCCCAGGGAAGGCGGAAAAGCGCGGCTGAAGGCCGTAGTATCTTGGGGAAACCCAGGGAGCGAGAGCACGGTTCTGAGGGTGACGAAGCGAAGCCATTTTTGCGTCGGTCACAGAACCGCGGGGCCAGGGCGAGCCTGGCAAGGCGAAGCCAGCTACAGCGGGGGCCGGGGGCCACTATGACTACACGCAGCACGTACTAGTGTTGCCATGCAGACGGTATCGCTGGTACACACACTGGGACCACAGGCGCGAAGTGCACGTACCAGGGAGGGCGGCGGAAGGCCGCCACACGAGTATAGTGTTTAGAAGGCCGCCACACGAGTATATGAAACGTAACCCAGGGAGGCAGCTGAAGGCTGCACAGAGTGTGGAAATCGGACGCTGCACCTGAAATTCTTGGGATGGGAAGAGGGCTCAGTCGCCCCACCGTAGCCCCTTCTCGCCACGATCGCCTGGCCTGCCGCCACCACGCTTGCCGCCTGACTGCCACCGGTCGTCGTGCCAGCCAGAGCCCCAGCCACTCTGCCAGTTGTCTCTCGCACCGGTAGCGCCAACCACCGTTGAAGAAGGCCCAACGCATCCAGGGACAGCACCGAGCAAGGAGGACACGAGAGCCCAGCCTGACTGGCGGGCCGTCCTCACTGTGTGGCAGGCACGAGGACCAGCGACGGGTGGGACCTTGGTTGTTCCAAGGCCCCATCGTATCCGAGAAGACCCAGGGAACGCCCAGTAAAACCCAGGGAGGCAGCAAAAGGCTGCAAGCTGTATTGGCACGTGCGAGGCTGCTGTTGCTGCAGCTGCAGCCCTGCTGCTGCGTCGGCCCCCTGGGTGCCAGTTGCGGCTGCTGCTGCACCTGCTGCAGCTGCTGCTGCTGTTGCAGCTGCAACGCTGCAGCAGCTGCTGCCGGCTTCCAGGGATGCCCTGCTGCTGCTGCTGCTGCTGCTGCTGCTGCTGCTGCTGCTGCTGCTGCTGCTGCTGCTGCTGCTGCTGCTGCTGCTGCTGAGGGCGGGCTGTCGGGCTGGCTGCGGGGCTGGCGGCCGCAGGCGGCGCCCGCGGCTCCAGCTGCGGCCGCGGAGCAGGCGGTGCCATCGGCGCCAGCGGCGCCCGCGGCGCAGAGAAGCCCGGGGGAGGGGCCGCGGGCGGCGGCCGCGGCACCCGCTGCGCCCGCGGCGCCAGCGGCGCCGGCGGCGCCCGCGGCGGCCTCGCGGCGCCCGCGGCGCCGTCGGCGCCCGCGGCCAGGGACCCAAGGGGGGCTGCCGGCAGACAGCGCCGCGGCACCAGCGGCGCCCCGCGGCGGCCGTCGCGCCAGCGGCCGCGGCCCCCGCGGCGCCCGAGACGCAGGTGAACTCGGAAGGGGCGGCCCGCACGCGGCGGCCGCGGCCCCCAGCAGCTCCCGCTGCGCCGGCCGTCGCCACCGGCACACGCGGCGCCCGCGGAACCCGAGGCGCAGGGGGCCCCGTGGGGGGCGCCGCAAGCGGCGGCCGCGGCGCAGCTGCGCCCACGGCGCCTGCGTCGCCAGCGGGCGCCCGCGGCGCCCGCGTGCGAGCCGGCGGCGCAGGAGCCCGGCGGCCGCGGCCGCAGGCGGCGGCTCCCGCGGCGCCCGCGGCGCCGCGAGCGCCCTCGGCGCAGGGGAGCCCGGGGGGGGCCGCCGCAGGCGGCGGCCGCGTCACCATCAGCGCCCGCGCGCCAGCGACGCCAGACGCGCCCGAGGGTCCAGCCGAGGCGCCCGTGCGCAGGCCCGGGGGCCAGGGGTCTTCGGGGCTCGGGGCCGCATGCGGCGGGCCCGGCAACCAGCAGCGCCCCCGCAGCGCCGGCGTCGCGGCCATCGGCGCCAAGCGGCGTTGAACGTCCGCCGCGGCGCAGGGAGCCGGCGGCCGCGGCCGCAGGCGGGCGGCCGACGGCGCCGCGGCGCATGGGAACCCGGGGGAGGCGGCCGCGGCTTCCAAAGCGCCCGCAGCGCCGGCGGCGCCAGTGCAGCCCCGCAAGCGCTGGCGGCGCCCGCGGCGCCCGCAGCGCAGGGGGGCGCGGGGGCGGCCGCAGTCGGCCGCCGGCGCGGGGGAGCCCGGGGGGGGGGGCGCCGGGGGCGGCCGCGGCTTCAGCAGCGCCCGCGGCGCCGGCTTCAGCAGCGCCCGCGGCGCCGGCGGCGCCGCGGCGCACTCGGCCCCGCCGCGGCCGGGGCACGGCCACACCCAGGAGAAGCCAGAGTAAGGAGTGAAGCAAGGGCGGGCGCGCCCGCGGCTCAGGTGACCACCTTCCACTGTTTCTGGTCCTTCCTGGGTGCGCGGCGATCAGCGTGGCCCTTCGCCGCCTGGCGCCCCCTGCCCGCGCCGCCACTTCCACCCAGGTACCGAAGCCGCAACTGCGCCCAGTCAACGCCGAGGTCCAGCGCGTCGTCCATGGCCCGCACGTCGCAGTTATGGCTGCGGAAGGAGGACAGGAAATTGACGTACGTTCGCTGGTCGTGCCGCCGCGGGTCGAGCGCGCCACTGCTGCCAGGCAAGGCGTGCTGCTGGGCGAACGCGTGCCAGGCGCCTGTGAACCTCGCTCCCAGGGTGACCTGAAGCCGCTTTATCGTCTCGCCAAGTGTCTCCCCGGGGGGGTCCCACTGGATGCCGCCGATTTTAGCTTTATATAGCTGTTGTACCGTGTCTAGGTTTAAAGGTTCTGTTCTGGACAGTGACGCACGGCGGGGCCCGCTACCAGGGGCGGGGTGGTCAGCGGCTGGTCCTCGGCGCGGCGCCCGCTGTTGCTTCTGCGGCTGCTGCTGCTGCGTCCGCCGCCTGCCGTCTGCCGCCCACCGGACCCGCCGGCGCGGTCGGCGTCGCTACGGGCCAGGTTTCGGCCCAGGGGCGGCGGGGAGATTGGAGGGTCGCCACTCACAGAGGCTAGGCAGGGCGTCCACCCGCTGCCACGAAGACGCGCTGGGGGAACGTT